ATTATTTTAGAGTTCTTTTTGCCTAATTTACATGACAATGCATCCATCTGTGATCAGCATCTGTGATCTGTTGCATTCTTGGTTTTCATTTGTATCGGGGTCGAACCTGGGTAAGAATTTGTATTGAATGGAGCTCAAGTGCAACTCTACTACTGTTTTAAATGGAGACTGAAACAAGAACTTAAACATTTCAAATTTCTTGTTGGAATAAGTTGGAATATTTTTTAGTTCAATGGGGTTGTCTTCTGACTTTTTTTGGTCATTTGAAATTACAAAATGACACAGACAGAACTTCAAATTACATCACAGGTCAAAATCTAAATGCTTAAACTGATAATATCTAAGGGGATGATGATAGAAAAAAGAAAAGAAAAATTTGCATAAGTATCGAAACTTGTGAATTCAATATTTGGTGGTAGCATCTTTGGCAGAAATTTGTCTTTTTGTTGAAGTAAGTTTATCAATAACATTTTGAGCATCAGTTTACATGTCTTTTCACAGATTTTCAGTAGGATTCAGGTCAGAACATTGACTGGGCTACGCAAGGACAATCACTTTCTTTGATTGTCCCAGTTTTAGGTCTGAACCACCCTGAAAGCCGTTTGTTTGACTCCAGTGATTTAAATCTTAGTTGCACATGACTGGTAGAATCCAAAATATAAAAAAGCAATAGAGTTCACAGGGTTTGCTTGAATTAATAGGAAAAGTATTTGGTTCTCATGTTATTAAATTACATTGAAAAATCTCTATTTTCTCTGGTGTATACAGTAAATGATTTAATTTGGCTTTAATGTATGTTTTAATGTCTTTGGTCTCTATATAGTGTGGTCAATGTTTGTGAATTTTAATACTGGATAAGCCTAAAGGATGAGCCAAAGATATTCCATTCCGATCTTTATATGGGAATTCATGAGGAATGACAGCAGCCAAAAGGTTGGGAGAAATTAGAATCGTTTATTGGGATATGAAGACTTGGCTTAACCCGCTTGGCTGAGGGCCAACCTTCCAGCCGTTGGACGGGGAGGATAGGACCACCATGCGACCAATTGGGCAGCTATAAAGGTGGAGAGGGGATGGAGGAGGGATGCAGAAAACAATCGAGGAAGAAGAGAGGATGACGTTTGGTATATATGGAGACCGGTTGTTTGCGTCAGAATTAGTGGGAATTGCAGCAGCTGTGTCGAATGAGCTCGGCTGCCTTCATTCCTCCCGAACTTTCATTAAAAACTCAATATCTCCTGAGAAGGCTTCTAAAATTCCTTTTGGCCAAATAAAAGTCTTAAACTCTTTGGAGACTACAGCTTGAGGCTGGAAACATTGTATTTATTTTTTGTAAATATGATTTTCATCTTTTTCAAAACATTTTTATTGAATTTTCTTTGGGATTATGTAATTCATGGGCTTTGTGTTGGCATTACGTTTTTGCCCATTTTAAAGCACTTTTGTTTTTTCACTATAACTCTACGTTATGTGTGGTCAACCCAACTTTTGTAGCCATCTGCAGTGCAGTGTCTAGGTCAGTATTGCCAACACCCACCAGTAGAGTCACAGTGCAGTAGAATTAATTTAATATAAGAATAAATGCCTGATTGTAAATTTACAGAGTTTTCAAAAAATCATAAGCAAAAAAAAATTATGGTTATGCACATTTTTACTGCTTAATAATATTCTGTATTGTATGATATAGTGTTATGTAACATAACCATAGTAATCAATCAACAGGGCTTAAAATAACTTTATGTTCAATGTAATTTAAGATGTAAGAAAAGTATATAATAAAATAATAAAACCTGGAGGATATGATTAAACAATACATTTAGAAATTCTGAGATGGAGTATGATTCCTAAGGAATGGTGCATGGCCATCCATGTTACAGTGTAGGATGTATGGGGTTGACTTATTAGTGCTTTAATATAGCACAAAATAGTAATAAGTTTTATCCTAATACATCTTGACACACAGAGATGTTTCAGTATGATATTAATACTGTTAATTAAAATCTAGAGCAAGATTAGTAAAAGCCCATAGAAGTCTTGAGGTGAACTCAAGAAACAAATGAAGAATAAGGTATTTCAGGTGAAGCTCAATCACATCAACTGAAGTCCTGTAAATTACATCATTACTTACAAGATTTCAGTTGGAATAAAATGAATTTAATCTGGAAACATTTTCTTTCTTTTCCAGCTGCACTCTGACCTGGACAAAGGCGACAGTGCAGTAAAATACACCCTCTCTGGAGATGGAGCTGGTTCAATTTTTACCATCGATGAAATTACAGGAGACATCCATGCTTTAAGGAGTCTTGACAGAGAAGAAAAACCATACTACACCCTGCGTGCTCAGGCTGTTGATATAAAAACAGGCAGGCCCCTGGAGCCCGAATCTGAATTTGTCATTAAGGTTCAAGATATCAATGACAATGAGCCCAAATTTTTGGAAGGTCCTTACACAGCAAGTGTACCAGAAATGTCTCCAGTAGGTAAGAAAATGTTCTTTTTTTCACTGAGTGGATATTATTGCAAGCTTAGTTAACAATACACTTCTACTCAAATAAGCCAACTATAGTTGTAAAATATTTAATGATATGATATGATATCTTATTTATGTCTTTCACTAGATCTGTATCCAAGTGATTGGTTGTGTACATGTACATACTGTTGTTGACTATTGCGCTAAAGAATCTTTTTCTCTTTCTTAAGACCCCATAATAAACAGCAACTACAAAACAAACACACGCAAAATAAACACTTTGAAAATAAGAGCACAAGCACAGGCTGTGCTTTGATTGTAAACAAAGGACAGCTGCCTCACGGCGTCCTTAATCATAATGTTTTGCACCCACACAGAAACAAACAGCTATTGTTTGGTGCTGAATTCAACAGTTCTCAGAAGGTTCTCAGCCAAAATCAGTCACTTTCAAACATCAAAGTTCAGATTAGCGAAATTCCGTTCTTATAACAAATTCTTCATGTTTGGATTAGTGAAAATTTGTATAATGAATGTTCTTATACCGGGGTATGATTGTACAGTTTATGTATCATCCAGTGAGCATACTAAACACTTCATTTCTTACTAAAGACAACAGAAGAAAAACGAATAATTTAATGTGACTTTCATTTAATGTGTCCTTAAATTCCATGCTATGTTACTTGAGTTGTATTTACTAGGAATGTCTTTTCAAGTTAGTTTCTTAATATGAATACGTTATGTACACATACACATATAGAAAAATATTTTTGGCATATGTAGAAGTGTCTATTCTGTGGAACAATTTCCCCATATTTAATTCAACTACCTGACAAGATAAACCTGTCCAAAGGTACTATTTAAGTTCTAATTAAAGCTATTTTTACACTGCTGATTTTTCATTCATGCCTTACTCCAGAAAATGCTATTAGCTCTTAGGGAGATGAGTCTCACTGGCAGATAAATATCTTCCAATAAAGTTTAATTAAAGAATTGGATATTATAGTTATGTCATTGCGCTTACACAAACTCAAGTCGAGATGCTCTAGGAGCTGTCTCTAAAGACTATATATGACACCGATTCCTTCATTATCAGCTGCTTATTTCTCTCAAAGTAAAGCAGTAGTACACCATGCATGGAACACCAGTCCATCACAGGGCACACATATGCATACACTCATACACAAACTGGTCTAGAGCTGTAATATTCAGATATTTATTTTAAAGCACTTTACCATGGAGATTTTTTTTTCAAAACCTATGCAGTAGTCTTCTTTGTTAAAAAAAACTATTGTTTAAAGCAATGTATAATCAAAATATTTAATTTATCAAAAAAGAACATACGTCCAATAAAAGTTTCAATTAAATTCTTACATTGTAAAAATCATGTAACTGTTTAATATTACACTGTGTTGCAGAAGTATTCCAATTACTTTTTTGTATTTTGATAATTTATTCGACTGGGGCAAAATGCAATTATTTTGAGTAACCACCAATTTAATATGAAGGAAATATGGAATTCTTGCTCTAATACCAATTGTTTCAAAGCAATACAAAAAGAATGAATTTTCTTTGGATGAATGCTAAACAAAGAAACAACATACGAGGAATATAATTAGCAGCAGTTGGATTTTGCACTACTTTCTGGGTATAAAAACCACCCCAGAAAGTCTGATCACAGACTACTATCAGACTATAGTCAGATACAGGCTTTCATCTGCTTTGAAACATATCCAGCAATTAAGATTACAAAATAGTGAAGACCAATCCCAGATTAAAACACCTGTGTCAGAACCATGACAAGATAATATTGTTGAAAGACCATTGATATAGATGCCACAGTAGCGGTTTGAAATCTCATCTTTTCTCCTGATGATCAGAGCAGTTGGTGTAGCAAAAAAAGGAAAGACCTGGGTGTTATCAGAATAGGATGTGAGTATATTTTATGCCTTAAAAAGTAAAAAAAAAAAGATTGTGCCTCAGGTTCAAATTCAAATACTCAAATGAAGTTGGTAGCAGAATTTTAAAAGTGAAAATGTAAAGAAATATAGACTAAAGAATAACACAACCCTGGGAACATTGATGCATGGACATGATCAGTTTTGGTTACACAAATGTTCTACTGGATCTTATAAGTTATAAGAAAATGTTTTCCAGGGCATAACCACAACATTGTTTTCTTAATGTATATAATTAAGATCCATATTAATTAAATATAATTCCAGCTTTTTTGTAAGTACACTGTTAGGGTGGAAAATATTTCTTCTGGATTAGTCTTTCAGGAGGAAAAACTGCTGGCTGAAAGGTTTCATCAATCTAGAGCTAATACACATTAAGAGCTAGATTTTTTCTTGTGTTAGAGGAGATGCTTTCCCTCTAACACCATCATACTTCTACTGACCTGCTGATGACCACAGCATATCCCCATGTGACCTCAAACATAGAAAGAGCAAAATGGCATTGACCAACCATAATCTTTCATCTCACAATATGCTATCTAAATGGATATGCAGTTACAAGGTTTCGCAACAATAATTCTGATAATGCAGTTAATGTCTTTCTTCTAATACAGCTAAATGAATTAGCATTACAAACAGCTGATTTTCAACACATTGCTCCTACAGTACTTCTATGCACTTTTAGAGGGTATGTGAGATTGTGTGAAGTACAGATAGATAAAAAACTCATTAGTCTGGTGTAAATGTGAACTGAAACTTGTTTTCAAACACAAACTCACAAAAGTCACAATGTTGCAGTAAACCAACTCATAGTTCCTCATTGAAAAATTAAAACAAAACTACAGCAAAATGCAGCAAAAAATGACAAAGATAGAGCTAAATGCATAGAGAATAAATAAAAAATCTAAACGTTTTAACACAATGACAGTAACTCAAGGTCTAATAACACAAAAATATTTTCATCAAAATAATAATTGCATTTGTATTTTCTCTAAGTACAGTGAAATATTGCTAAAACATCAAAAGACACCTTCAGCTTATGTTTCAATGTGAAAAAGGTGTCGGTTTCTTTCTTTTCTTTGGTTTTTCTTTGTTTCTCAATATAACCAGCTTTTTAAAAAAACATCTGAATTATTGAGTTTTCAGAAAATGAAACCTTTTTCCATTTATTATTAGATACATTTAGTTGATTGTGGTGACTAGTCAAGCACTTTGATTGTTCTCCTGTACAATTGAAATGCTGACACTTATTCATGCTTTAGGTCATTGCAACACTGAAATGTGAATTTAATTTAATAGTATTTGTTTGTGCAGCAGTTACATTCTCATCAAAATTATACGGCTCTTCATTTACTAATACCCATAAACAGAAAAACCATAAACATAAAGAAACAACCATTATAAATATTATTTTTATTTATATAACAGTTCTTCAATCCAGTACACCTCATACATTGTGAAAAAAAGGTTAAAAACACAAAGCAGTTAGTACATTATATTACAATATTACAGCTAAAAAATTACAGCACTAGAAATCCAATAAAATATTATTTTAATTCATAAGCAGCTACATTCAATGTCTTACAGTAGAGCAGTGCTTCTATGGCCTTGGCAAATAGGCATTGAAAGGGCAATTTACTGTAGTTGAGGAGACAGCAAGCCAACTGCCTGCTGACAGACTAACATATCTTGAGGATGCATGAGCCAATTATTATGAAAAATTAGAAAGGACTAAATTTTCACTTCATTTACAATATGTACTGAAGATCCAATTTTAAATTATACAATCCCACTGTATAAAATGAGTGAAATGCAGAGCTACTGTATTCTGAATGCCTTGCAGCACAAAAGCTGTGTAAAGCTCCAGCATGAAGGGGTTTTCATTAATGGAGCCAAAAAAAAAAACAGATTTGGAAAAGGCATGCAGAAGTAAGTAGCAATACTGTACAGGTGAAAAAAAAGCAATTTTCATCCCTTGATTGAAATGGACTCTGAGTGTCTAGAGTATGATAAAACTTCAGTTTTAAAGTTCTTCAGAGTTGGTTTGTCTAAAAAGAGTGTGATTAACAAAATGCAGTGATAGATTACCGATAAGTGGTAATTCTATGTAAAAGCTTTCTTCATTTTTTTACTTAATCTAGAAGGGATTTAAAACATACAGTAGGTTTTGGGTGTCAACAGACAATGTCAATTCAGGTACTGTCAGCATAAAAACTAAATAAAACAAACTACAAGATACACAAAAATGTCACCCAAAGGTAGAACTTACAGTAAATACTAAAATGGGACATTCCATGAATTGCATCTGATAGTCCAACTTTGATAGTGACAGTGGGAAAGAATGATTTAAAGAAACAAAATGATGGCAGTCACCAAGATGTGCTTCAAATCAGATGGCAAATTTGACAAATGGCAGATTTTAGTAGAGACAGAAATACATTATGATCTGTCAGCTGTAAGGTCAAGAAGTCAAATAAGAAGCACAAGTAAGTGCTGCATGAATGGCTAGACATTAGCTTCAGGTTCTTCACTGTATGCTTTCCTTTTTATTTCTGTAAGATATGCAATACCTCTTAACAATTGCTGGCATGATAGGAATACCATTTATTTCTGTCCTATTTACCTGCTTTGTGTAAATGTTTAGCTTCATTTTGAACTTGGCACTATTCTAGTCTTAATTTTACCTTTTTACTGTGAAAGTAGTTTTTTTGTTGTTCATGTTTTTTTCTTGATCTGGAAAAAAATACTTTGTCTTTTGCAATTATACATCATTATGTATAGTTTTTATATAAAACAGTTATATAAATTACATTTATATAAAAAGTTATAAAAGGCAAACTACAGTATACAGTTTTTTAACACTACAGTTTGTGCAAAATACCACTTATTTGCGATGACGTTTGTGCTACAAAACTTAGAAGAAAACTATTTTAATGGCAGATTTTATATTGAACTTTGTATGTTTTATTAATGTATACAGTAAAAAGTTGTTTTATTAATATATAATGAATATACATAATGATAACTCCTACGGTGTGTTTTAAACATCTACTAA